TTGGACGGACATGTATCGATCAGATTGGCGATTTATATTAAAGAAGAGCCAAGTTAAAAGTACCATTAACATATTAGGTGCTGTGTCGGACAATGATATAATCAACGCTAGCGGAGGATTTATCAGAGAGTGCTCTGTTAAATCACGCTTTGCGTTCCAAATGCTCAAAATTTGAACCACAGATGGTACTTTTGACGTTCACTGTACAAGCTAAACGATTCATTATATCGGTATGCGATTTGGATCACCGATTCCTTTTGAAGGTACAAATTGTTTGAGACAACAATGTATGGTAAATTCATCTCCAAAACACGAACTTAGTGTTCTAAAAACTTCAATTTGCTTGCATTTTACACAGCATAAACCCAGAATGCATATCAAGTTATACGAATTGGTTAAACTTCTTTGATACATTTTCGACCATAACATTTTTAAATAAAGTTGAAAATCATTTAAAGTTTCAGGTAGTTTCACGTGCTGCCGTCTACTGCTAAGCATATAAGCAAATCTGTTTTAATTGAATTAGCACATTTCTCGATTTCGATTCGAAATTAACTGGAGTAAGTTCAATTAAGTTAGCGTTTCTGCGTCATGTATGTAAAATGGACTCGACAATGTTTCCTCTACGGTCTATTTTTTTGTGAGAAGTCTTGGTAAGACTATTTCATGATCAAAAACTCTTACATTCCCTATCACTTTTTTTAGGGGGAAAATCATCCAATGACTTCTCGCTGAGAGGGAGTGTCAGACTCTTACTGACTAAAAACCACCCCGTTCCTACTCCTGCACTTTGAGCCGGAGCCCCGGCAACTCGTTAAATCCTCCGTGGCTCCGTATCAGCATCAGCCCTATTGGGCACCATCTGTTGTGGTCTGATGGCTCTTTGAGGTGCGCGTGGAACGCGACGTGCTGTACGCTCGCGTACATTCCCTATCATTTAACGTGTATTAACGTAACGTATACGTATTTTAAACTGTCAAACACCAAGCGGTCACCAGTGACCGCAACCTATTGTTCTATAATTGTGTCTGCAAAACCGGTACTCGACGAGTTAAAAGTGGCTCATGTAACCTCCAACTAGATAGTGTGCAGTGAGAATATCCTACGTGAGTGGCTGGCAATGGTTGGACCTGAACAGCTGAAGATCCAACAGCTATGGGAGATCCTTTTGCAAGCATAGGCTGTAAGACCACAGGATGGAAGCATGGTCATCATGTTGTTGCAAAATAGACCATATTGACACAATAACATACATTTTATGGAATATATAAGCCGGTAAACGAGCAAACGGATCACCTGATAGTAAGCAATCGGCGTCGCCCATGGACACCTAGAACACCAGAGGCGTTACAAGTGCGTCACCGGCTTTTTGGGGATTAGGAGTTTGAGGATCGTTGGGGATTCAGGGATTGGGGAGATTGGGGAAGGGGAAGGTAATTGGGCCTCCGGTAACCTCACTCACACGACGAAACACAACGCAAGCGTTGCTTCACATCGGTTTTCTGTGAGGCCGTGGTATCACTCCGGTCGAGCCGGCCCATTCGTGCCGAAGCAAGGCTCTCCCACACTTGTACATTGTACTTTAATTTCAATTTGTTTAGTTCAAAATCCAATATTGCGTTTACATTAATAGTAAACTAATACCATATTCAAAATTATCGTAGGTTTTCGGTTACCAAAATATTGAATTAAATGCTGTTATTAATTATGGTAACGCCATATTGGAATTAATACAAAATGAACAAATGTATCGTATAATATTTCATTTACAGTAATACAAAGCTAGTATTGGTATTCTAGTTTTCAAATTATACAATTAAATTGGACAATGAGATTGTGCAGAAAATATATAACTATTTCTTCTGAATGTTGATGCAAAATTGGTGATTCACATAGGTATATTTAATTATCTGAGCCTCAGTAGGCAGCGCGACATCGCTGCGACTGCGGACGCTGCTCATGAGGAAGAGCCCCTCGGTGGTTCGAAACTAGTAGAACTTTTCTCAGTATATTCACGTGAGTAACTATCGATTTTAATTTTTAGTATATCTCTAAATTAACTAAAAATGAATAACCCGCGATTTTTAGTTAGGTTATTATTTGGTATACTTTGGCTGAAAAGTAACCTAATTGTAATTGATCGTAGTAAAAATTAAGATTAATCATTTCCCTGCTCATCTATGATTGTAATTATAGCAGAGTAGAACACATAGTTACTACCAGTCTACTATTCCAGATGTTATAATATAATAACCGACAAAGAGTACCTTGCAGTAGATAGTCACATGTTGTTCATAATGTTAAAAACTTTGTTTGGGCTTTTCCCTACTCTGTACAAGAACCTATATCAGAGAGGTTATCTCTGTCTACAATGTAGACTCTAGGCCACACCATTAATAAAAGTAACTACAATATTATATAGCCTCTTTTCGCAAATATACCAAGTCACCCATAAAACCCACACAAGACAGTAGCCAGTCCCCACTCACATTCATAAACTCAATCCACGATCATATCAATCGACCACTCTGCCACTATCAACATACATTGCCGCTCTCAAATGCAAATTTCCATTGAAAACCATAAATGGAGCATCAATGGACACTAAACTTTGGTTAAAGTCGATGTGGAAACAAGAATGGTATTAGATGTGATTATTTAAATGATAAATAAACAATCTTATGTACTAAGTTGAGATATTGAATTTTGTTTGCGAATTCTATTGCGTAGGTTGAAAATGTTGATGCTTGATCTGTGTCTGAGTAATTCTTATAATTGTCTTGATACTTGGAACTTTGTTTTATCTAATACTACTAATACTAGCGACCCGCCCCGGCGTCGCAATGCTTATGTAATTTACGACATCACATTAGAGACTTCTTTTATAAGTATTTCTTAACTATAGTACGCATGTATTATACATATAAACATTCCTCAATTTTACAAATAAAATAATTTGAATTAAGAATCATTCTATCTATTAAAAAAAACCGCATCCAAATCCGTTGCGTAGTTTTAAAGATCTAAGCATACATAGGGACAGACAGACGGCGGATAGCGACTTTGTTTTATACTATGTAGTGAGACATGAGCATATAAACCTTATATGCTTAATAAGCATAATATAATATATCACATCGTTTTCAAGATTCGAAGAAGATATTTTTATCCTTTTTTAGGAACCTTTGAACATAGTTTACGCCAGTTCCATCATAACTAAAACCTATTTAGCAAATGCTAATAAAAAAACGAGATAAATTAACGAAGAACATATAAACTGTCTTCTTTAAGTTTAAAGGTCTGATAAGAGATTACCAACAATCACATAGTTGTTGCTCGTGACTTCGTTCGTGTAGTATATATTTTAGAACATAACTTTTTTTGTTTCAATTTTCCAAAATAAAAGTAGCCTATGTTACTCCTTAATACATCAGCTACCTGCCAATAAAATTCTTGCAAAATTGGTCCAGCCGTCCCAGAAATTAGCCAATACAAACAGACAGACAGACAAAAAATTGAAAAACAATGATATTTCGGTATATGTATCGTTTGTATATTCATATACATCACTTAACTAGTTAAGGATACATCACAATATAGAAATCAAGTTACATTTATTCAGATGTAAGTATTAAATGGTTCTTTAGTATTTGAATGAGATAATTGTAATAATATGAGGAGGTAGTCGGTAATAATCTGTAGAAATAAATAAAATTGCAATGTCCGTTTGTGAATTGTTAGCTTTATAATGTACTAGCGACCCGCCCCGGCTTCGCACGGGTGCAATATGCATGTATTATACATACAAACCTTCCTTAAGAATCACTCTATCTATTAAAAAAAACCGCATCAAAATCCGTTGCGTAGTTTTAAAGATCTAAGCATACATACGGACATACAGCGAAAGCGACTTTGTTTTATACTATGTATTGAAGTTGAATGCTGGTAACGTTATCTATAGTATAATATTATAAAGAGGAAAGATTTGTACCTATTTTTATATGTTTGTATGTTTGTAATGAATAGGCTCAAAAAGTACTGGACCGATTTAAAAAATTCTTTCACCAATAGAATGCTACATTCTTCCAATTTGACATAGGCTACATTTTTCATTTTTTTTAAAAATTAGGGATCCTTGGTAAAATTTGAACAATGTAACCGACGGTGTAGAAAAATTACTCTTAAAATTTAGCGATAGAACAAAATAATATACAACAATATTGAAGAACATCATAATGTCTACAAAAAACTCCGCGGTAGTATATGTCCAACTATTGTAATTATGTCACTACAACAAACCAAATTTCCAAAAATAAATAATTGTCTACCCCGTGCGAAGCCGGGCCGGGCTGCTAGTTTGTGATAATTATATTATTGCTTTCCTACCAACATCAAAAGTAATATTATATTTCGAATGGAGTAACGCAATTTGCACTCAAGTGAAATTGCATTGCTCCTTCAGAATAAACATACGATACATATACCAAAGTATCATTATTTACAATTTTTGACTGTCTCTCTGTGTGTCTGTTTGTACTGGTATATCTCTGGAATGGCTGTGCCGATTTTGCAAGACTTATTGACAGATAGCTGATGCACTAAGGAGTAACATAGGGTACTTTTATTTCGTAAAATTAAAAAATAACTTATGTTCTAAAATTCATATTCTACGATTAAGAAGTCGCGGGCAACAGCTAGTTCATTCATAAAACTTACATTTTTCGCTTATTACAAAAACACATATTAGAATTATGTATTTTTGTGATAAAGCGAATGATAAACGTTTATTATAATATCATGTTAGTATACAGTACCTACTTCATTCTTGAATGTTGATAATATTTATGTTGCAAACTACAATAAATGTGAGAACTTCTCGACATATCTAAACACATATTAGTTTAACAAAAACATCAGTAGCTGCGTAGCAGTCAAATAGTAGAATGTATACAAATATTTTGTTAACAGTAATGAGTTAGACATTAGTTCATTACACTCACCTTTACCCTCTAATGAGCACTCATTGTTAACAAATCGCCCACCGTTCGGAGCGCAGGAACAGGCACAACACTACGCATGACGTAACTTCCTAGTACACTTCATTCATTAAACTGTCGACTTAACCAAACGATGAACAACACTATCCAATATTAAAAAAGAAATCAATATACCACTATCACTGTCTTCGAAATTCGTATGTAGTTCGGCGTATTTTTTATTCGTTACTTTTTTTAGTTTTTTTTAGTAAGCGCGTGTGTGTCAGTCGGAGCGCGCGCGCATTTGAGCACGCGCCGAAGCCTCCGAGAGTCGCCCCCGCGATTTTTGACGCGTGGGCGCAACCAGCCGGCCCCGAATTTGCGTAATATATTAAAGCAATAAAACAACTCAAATATTACTATATGTTCCTCACTGGCTTATCTTATAATGTCAGTTCAAATCGGAACGACCGTCGACAGCAGGGGACCACATGAAAATGGCAAGCTTTCTTTATAAGCGTATGTTAGAATTTTAAATGAGTATCGAATAATGCATTCGACATAAAAAGCTATCGGCGTCTGCTAACAATATTATGTGAGCCGGTGCGTTGGGAAGCGACTTGTCGAGGAGTACCTTGTATGGAGAAACGGGTTCGTCTGCAGTCCCACACGTTCGACTTTTTGCCGTTCAGTGCAGGAAAGAGGTAGGGACTCCGAACCAGTGTAAGTCGACCCACCTCGTCCCCTAACCAAATAAGCAAAGTTCGGGGTTACGCAGTAACAAAAGGAGTAGCAGAGATCTTCATTGATTGGACGGTTTCTGCTAAGGAAGGAGCATTGTACAGATCGTGTGCTTGCAAGCCACGTCCTGCCTTCAGCTTCATACATTTGTAATGAAATCGTCGACTCGCTTCTGAGTCCTAATTAGACGTCTCCTATGGTGCCGCGAGAACGCTCAAGTAATGTTTTGGCATCCTAAATAGCTGAAATTTTCGCTAAATGAAACGTTTTTGAGCTCAACCTTTGGTGCAGCAATTAAATGAAGAAACGCTTTATGCATTGGTTTCTTACTACTTTGAATTTAATTGATTTTGAAGGACGAAATGTTCCTTTTACTGCAGGTCTGTTTTTGTTTCTGGTACCTACGTATTCTACAGTTTTATATCCATTATGGAATTATAATAGTTACTCAGCTCGCGTAGTATCTTTACAATATACAAGTTGCAAATATATATAATATACTTTGACGCCTAAATTGAGGGTATAATTTTTGTTGTTTCCCCTATTATTTTTTTACTTTCATTTTATTTAATAGTTTAGTTGTAGTTAATTTTAAGTTGTAAATAATTACATTACCTATTTTTATATACATTAAACAGATTGCATCTAAAAAAAATAAAATATACATTAAAAAGTTGCAAATATGAAATGTCTCTTTATTATATTTTCAGGCCAGAGCCAATGAACAATTTATGTTAGGCACAAATCCCAGACAATAGGACCATAATAATTTACGAATTTACTAATAGCACCTATGTATTACCTACACTGTGCCAAATTTCATAGCAATGTGTTACCACACAACATTCTGCCGTCAACATAACTTAAAATATGTACTAACAAACAATACCTTTTTAATGTATTATTTAAATATTGACTTCTATAGAAAGCTTCAACTATTTAGCACCTTAGATATTATTAAATAAAAAAATATAAAGTCAAAACCAATATATATTTGTGAATGAATGAAAGCAACCGGTCTAACTTGCTGGTGTAATGGTCGTGAGACACGCTATGAGGTCTATAGTTTGGTTACCAGGGGGCTTACTCTTGAATACAACTCCGATCGATCGACATTGATATTGTGAAATTTCGTACTCTCAAGTTGGCACATTAGCGCCCATTTCATCCGTATTCGTGGATATTTAATAAACTAAATGTTATTGAGTTAGTACAGATTTATATTCCGTACTCTGAATGTTATTTTAACAGTTACGATAATTATTTTTTTAAGGGAGAAAATTCATCGAATGACTGCTCTCGCCTAGTAGAGGCGGGAGGGAGTGTCAGACTTTTACTGACTAAAAACCACCCCGTTCCTTCTCCTGCACGTCGAGCCGGAGCCCGGGTAACCCCTTAGGTTCTCCGCGACTCCGAATAGGCATCGGCCCTGTTGGGCCCCATCTGTGGTGCTCTTTGAGGCGCGCGAGGAACGCGCGAGGAGCGCTGTACGCTCGGGTACGGTTGACGGGTCTGGTTGACATTGAATAATTACCTCTATTAAGATTTTATTGGATTGAAATCGCATTTAAAATGAGATTGGTTTCAAGAATAAGCACCCAGGTCGAACAAAGTTTTAGTGGAACTTTGACTGTTTGACAAACAATATCAAATAATATTCTCTCGTAGTGCCTATTACATGGGAATAGCCTTCTGTTAGTTCAGTTGAGTGTATTAAAGTGGAGAGATTTTTAGTTTGAACCCAACCTTAGACAAGTGGGAATTATGACATCTAACCTGAAAAGCCAAGTTCAACCTTTCAGACTTCAGACTCGCTTTTTATTCAAATAAGAACAATCTTCAACAATGGTCAAACCTTAAAGACTTCAAGCACTCTTCAGGGAATGACTTACGTCATTCCCTGAAGAGTTAGCGAATATGTTATCATTAGACGTCATGTTATCTTACACCTCTGTCTACCCCATAATAGAATAACATACAAAATAACACTATGCATTATGAAATGTACCAGTGTGGGAACTTTAGCAATGCAATCGAAGCACCGTTGTGTCTTGTGGGTGAACATTCATAGGTAACACCCACACAGCCACACTTCAAAATACCGGGATTATAGTCCGTTATAATGTTTTAACATGTTTACACTATGTCGTGGTGGCCCGAAGGTTTAAGACGCCCGCTTCTCATGCATGAGGGTGCGGGTTCGAAACCTACCAATGGCAAGTACCAATGAGACTTTTTCGAGTTACATGTACTTTCTAAGATTATTTAGACACCATTGACAAACGGTGAAGGAAAACATCTTGGGGACGCATAGGCTAATAATTTCTAATTAAAAGCTTTAATTTTCTCCTTTTAGAAAAAATCCATTTACATATGTTTTATTATATTCTAGACTACAATCTGTTTCTACCATACAAATCTGTTCAGTAGTTTTTCCGTTAATGATTAACAAACATACAGGCATAATACAAAAATCCTCAGAGACTTTCACATTTATAATAAAATAATCATAATTCTAGATTTCATATTTTCAAATCCAGTCACCAATACAATGCTGAAGTTCGTGTCTACAACAAAAATTTTAACATTAAAAACCATAGATACCTTGACGTAAGTGACGTGACGATCTGACGAATGTTTGGGTTGAAAATATCCAAAATTAGATGTTCCTATGACAAAGGTATCATCCGAATATCTAACTCACACCATGATTGACATTTTCGGCTTCCATCCGGAGCTATGCCATTTTTGTTTCATAAATCTAGGCCGATATCAATCAAAGTACTAATTAACCTCATTTTTTTTAATCCCTCGTTGGCAGAGTGATCGCAAGTGCGACTGCCGAACAAGGGGTCTCGAGTTCGATTCCCGGTTCGGGCAAAATACTGCTCATGAATATGAGCCTCTAACATGGCTTGAAACTAGTCAAGTTCCTCGTCAAATAATTACGTAAGTAAGCCGAAAACATAATAATTTATTTTGTACGTCTCTCTCGAAAGTTATAATACCTACAAATATGGTTGTTGTTTTTAACATTTTAGTTTTTTGTGTTTTGCGACAAAGATTATAAACGTAAACACACAATTAAGCATAATACCAACTAAGATTATAAAATAAACTTTATGTTAATATCAAAACGTACAGTTTGACGAAATTAAAATATTTATGCGGTACCGGATATAACTTTCTAAGTAAACAAAACTTGTCATTTTTCACGGCTCTTTTCCAATGAGGAAAGTGTAACTTGGAACCAATGTAGATTGTTAACACGTTGTGGAAACTGGATTACACAAATATTCCGCTATGACAATAGTTATGTAGATATTGTTTATTCTACTAGGTACAACCATGAGGTTTAGTATTTATAATACCTATCGAATAAGTCAGTTGTACCTAAGCATAAACTGAAGGGGAATGCCAAAAAGAATTTGATGTTTTCATTTCAACATTATGTATTTAAAAAAATGTTAACTTCATTTATCAAATGTCGCTGTGCCCTTATGGGGTCCATAAATGTATATTAGCTATAAGCGTATTGTAACACCTTATTCACATTATGGTATGCAAATAAATGAATATGAAAATGAATAACTTATCTCTGCTTAATTTTGCTTTTAATTCAGCTTTTCTCTTCGTATCGGAACCTTTGTAACAAGTAAGTGTCTATGTTGTCGACATACTCCAAAACGACTGTAACAATTTTGATAAAAATCAACTTTAGAAAAATCCATATAGTGATTCACTAGTTTAATCACTTTAATAATTCACTTAAATCTTCCAACTACTTATCTATCATATACAAATTCAAAAAGCAACTGAAATTCGTCGTCAAACAATTTAATTTGTAGGCATACCAAACTATAAATACCAGGCGTACATACCTACACAGGAGGTGCTGATACCTCACAATCGCATTTATTGACAAAGCCCCGACATCTGGCCGCCGTCAGATCACTCCAATTAAGAATCTGCATACCAATTTAACTCTACACTCTAACAAGCAAAATTCAACCTTAGTCTTCAATTGTTAAGGTAGATTGAGACTGCATGTAGTATGGTTTGCTGGTCCCTTCCCTCATTTTGGTGGCAATTTGCAATATGAAAATGTTACTGGAATGACTTGTGTAGTAGTTTGCATAGATTTGTTGAAGGCGGTTTCAATTTGATGTCTTTTTTTAAGGGGGGATATCATCTAATGACTTCTCCCGCCTGGGTGAGGCGGGAGGGAGTGTCAGACTCTTACTGACTAAAAACCACCCCGTTCCTTCTCCTGCACGTCGAGCCGGTGCCCCGGTAACCCGTTGGGTTCTCCGCGACCGTTAGGTTCTCCACGACCAATTTGATGTCTGGGATGACAAACTGGCTGAGCAGGTAAGCAAAGAAAAATATACGAAGTCTTTATCTGTTAAAAATTAAGAATTTGCAAAATTGTAGATATGTATTGTGTAATGTGTTCGTTTATTTAGTTACCTTGGTCTGTTGACACCTTACTCTAAGACCCTTACCTTGCCTTGCTCCCAGGAAACTCATGACTTCATGAAACTGGTTAAAATGGAACATTTAATTTAAAAGTAACAATAGTGTTTCTTGCTCGTTCGTCCATGCTCCGGCACCAATCTTCACATAAGAACATTAATGACGAACAATTATTTTTACTAAGGCCCGATTTTTCTCTCTAGATAAATAACTGAGAAATTAACTTTGAATATTGCTTACCATCAGGTGATCCGTATGCTCGTTTACCGGCTTATGCCATAAAAAATAATAATATTTGATAACAGGCGTCGCCCATGGACACCTGTGAAACACCAGAGGCGTTACAAGAGCGTTATCGGTCTTTTGGGGATTAAGAATTTGAGGATTGTTGGGGATTCAGGAATTTGGGGGGAATTAGGGAAGGGGGGCGGATAATTGGGCCTCCAGTAAACTCACTCACACGACGAAACACAACGCAAGCGTTGTTTCATGTCGATTTTCTGTGAGACCGTGGTATCACTCCGGTCGAGCCGGCCCATTCGTGCCGAAGCATGGCCCTCCCACACTTAAACCGCTTGCCTACCTCTTCGTGGAAACATTGTCATCTTGCTAATAAGTTGTCACAAATGGGTGTTACATTTTAATGCGTATACTTCTGTCTACCTCTTCTTGGAATTACAAATGCAAACAGATGTTATGTAAGGTTTCAATGATACCTAGATCTAGATAGATACAATTTCCAGGAACGTGACAATGCAGAAATGTGATACAAATATTAAGTAAAATAAGTAGTAGGTATTATAATAACTTTACGTAGCTTCGCTCACATGGTCCTTATACTCCTTCCTCTGGAATTACTCCACTTGTTCATGAAAATTGTAGAAAACTTTTTGAGGAGCAGGGATTTCTTCCTATGATATGCGGGAACAACAACTGCTTAAAGTGCGTTAGTAGCCGGCAGTGGTTTGATGTTGAGAGCTGAAGATCCAGCTCAATGGAGAGCCCTCTATTCAGCAGTTGATAGAAACGAGTAGGTCATGGATGATGAATGAACAACATCAACAGTCTGTTATGCCTATAGACCGCTGCCGGGCTATAGTAAGCCCTAGCCATTCAACTATAGAAGTCAAATTACTTTACATAAGAACCTTAATAGGTACTCTGAATCTACAAGTAATTATAACTAACACCAAAACAAAGAACATACACCTAACAACCTAGACTACCTACAATAAAAAATAAACCCTATCTTTTTGTCCGTACACTTCAAATTCCTTTAACATTAAGATAGTATCCCGAACGTACATTTTGTAGCTTAAGGCTTACTACAGGGCCCTCATTATCCATTAATTAGCTTAATGACAATAATTCCGGGAACATCATTGTTTCGTTGGCAATTATGACAATATTTTGCTAGACAGAAAATACTATAATTGAGCCTTTAATTATTAAGTAAGCACGTGTTAATTAAGTTGAAACTCGTGTGGTTATATGAGACACTGTTATTTTGTAGTGTCTTGTTTTTGGATTATTTTTGGGGAATATTCTGCATAATACGGTATTTGACAACTAGTTAAATTCAATACTTTTTTCGACCGACAGTTTTCTAACTATGAATTTTGTACGAGATTGTGTATTGTGACGTCACGTTTTATAGCGTCAAACAGCGTACCTATTTCTTAAAAAAAATTGCTGGAAGAATACTAAAATTAAGTTGGCCATAAAATCAATGAATGAAAGTGTGATTATTTTTTAATAATTTAATGTATTGAACAGTCGAAATAGTTTATTTTTGGTTAAGAAAGTATCCAATTATACATCATGTCGTATTCTCACTCTAAAAGATGAACAGAGAAGCGCCTCTAGAATGTAACACACACACACACTTCTTAGACTCACAAATTGTTACTCTCATGTAGTAGGAGGTGACACTTGGCACAATTGAAATTATCTTTTTAATGGAAAAAGCCGGTTAACAAGCTGACGGATACCGCCCATGGACAGGAAACACCAGAGAAGAAGAAGAGCGTTGCCGGCCTTTTGGAGGATTAGGAATTTGAAGATTGTTAGGGATTCGGAGATTGGAGAGATTGGGCTTAGGGTAATCTCACTCACGCGACGAAAAACAACGTAAGCGATGTTCCACGTCGGTTTTCTGTTGAGCCGTGACCGAGCCGGCCCATTCGTACCGAAGCATGGCTCTCCCTTCTTCACCTCAAATGTTACTCGGCTGTCATAATTGCACTATTGCCATTGTGACGACTCAACCAACGAAGTAGTCAGGTTGTTTTTATCCAATATATTTAAACATTCCAATAATACCTTGCCCAATTTAAAAACTAAGTAACTCATTCTTCTATAGGTACTTAATCAAATACATTATCTTGCAACAAAAAATAGAACGTTACTTTATCATCTCAATGTAACCATATTTTTATCACAAGGAAGACAACATATGTACGTCATAGGTACTTGAACTCTAACAAATAATCATTTAAACATTTAATACGTAAATATATGACAAACAATCATCAGTAAAATATTGTATTCTGCTCTTCATATTGCGACACAATTCATTTATGAATCATCCATCATGATATGATATTACGCTGATTTCATTTCACTAACATTAATTAATAATGTAAAATTATAATATGTTATTTCTTCTTCGTTGTTAAATTACATAAACATTATATACTAAATTTTGACACATTTTTTTAAAAGAATAGGCACACAAGTCATGTCTCGAGACGGATCACCTGGCGGTCAGTAATCGACATATATATAGACAACCCTAACACCAGAGGAATTATACGAAATTGTTAACTAGTGCAAGCTGATAGAAGATTAGACATCCATGATCCAGTACACTCATGGTAAAGGACAATACTACTAAAGCATTCGAAACTACAAAGCCCATTGACATTTTCCTTCCAAGTACTGAACTCTCGACCAGTTGGACAGGTACCGCCTGTTATGTTGGTAGATTGATAATTAATAGTCTGATTTATTTTACTTGTATTTATTAGAATAATGTGCAGGGCGCACGACGTGTACACCAGAGTATGACAGATAGACAGCGACATTAATGACGAGTGTCTTACCTTATATAACACATTATAGTGAGGGAGCCACTATTTACTAAATAGTGGCATGTTAATACAGACTAATACATACACGTTACACCGCCATCATCACCAGTTACTGTAAAGGATCGCCTTCGAACGTGGGTGGCCCGCCGCCCGACCAAACCAGAGCCAAGCGTAGGGAACGCGACGTGCATCAAAGAGCCATCAGACCACCACGTATGGGGGCCCAATAGGGCTGATGCCGATACGAAGCCGCGGAGAACCTGACGGGTTACCGGGGGTCGAAATGCAGAAGTAGGAACGGGGTGGTAATTTTTATGTATAGTTCTGTCTCTTTAACTTCTTGGTAAAATGACAGAGATGGCACGATATTTAAGTACAATCGGACGATAGTCCAACAATAAACTGCTAAGAGTTATTGATGACGGTAATGATAGGTAAATATAACTGTACGACTTTCATTGAAAAATACAAACATAACATAACATTACGCCTTTCAACCCCGAAGGGTTGTGCAAAGGTGCACATTACGACACTTGATGCCACTGTACAATGTAACATCCACTTTTCACTATTTATGTTATAAGTCCCATGTAATAGGCGTCATCCCCGGTATATGGCAATAGCCTCACGGCGGCATTGCCATATACCGGGCACAATTCCAGACTCCGTGCTACTACCGAAATTTTTATAAAAACCCAGTAATACTTTGCCCCCGACCCGGGAATCGAACCCGAGACCCCTTGCCGCACTTGCGACCACTCGGCTAATGAGGCATTCAGTTGAAAAATAATTCTCTCCAAGAATTATTATTACACACAATACAGATAACAATAATTACGATCAGAGTTCTCGGTAACTTCATACAAAACTATGTTCGAAGTATTTCTTGGTAGTGATCCGCCCAAATACATGTCCCTAATATGTAACATGCCTTCCTTATTATACACTGGGTCCTTCCAATACTTAGAATCTACTCTAGGACCTGACTATAATATTAAAGGTAAAGAGCTTGTTTGTTTACTATTTCAATCTTTATATCGACCAAAATACATCTAAATCTATTAAGCGATGGAGTGTGAGAGAGCCATGCTTCAGCACGAATGGGCCGGCTCGACAAGAGTGATACTACGACCTCACAGAAAACCGACGTGAAACAACGCTTACGTTGTGTTTTGTCGTGTCAGTGAGGTTACCGAAAGCTCAAATACCTCCGTTCCTAATCTACCCAATCCCCGAATCCCCAACAATCCTCAAATTCGGGCGATGCCGATTACTTAACATCAGGTGATACGTCTGCTCGATTACCGGATTATCCAATAAAAAAAAACATCAATAAATTATATTCACAAATTATTTCTCTACGGACAATCTCATCCATCTATATCTTCTGTATAGGAACAATTGCTAAAGACCCTTTTCTTCAGAGTTTACTATTCTAACTATGAATTAGAACAATTATCCTATTTAACAAATCGCATAACTTAATCACCTCTCGCCCAATTCACAAACCAAACATCATCAAAATGCATTCAGCAGTTTCTGCGAAAAGACAACACAAACACATCAACCAAACTAACTAACTACTACAAATAATAATAGTAAAACAAACACTATAACATTATGAACGGGACAAAAAATCGACATCATAAACATACGGGTCCCAAACTCACACACACTGACGCAGTGTAATATGAACCCGTATATCCGCTGTCAGTTCCCTCTGAATACAGTCAGTACGATTTGCATCGTCCAATATTCTCAAACAAATTGTAATTAATACATCGTTAGGTTGATAATAGTTGATAATTATTGTTTGTACCGACCCCATACTTTGACCCTAACGATAAGACTCTTCAGTTGCCTCCATTTGGTGGTTGAAGTGCGAACGGGAAGGTCTAACATGATCTGAGATACAATATGATTTTGTGTGTGATTTTTCTGTGTCTGTGCGCCACGGGAACGGTTTTTGGATCGCCTAGTAAGTGAAATTTACTCTTAAATGTAGACTTTTAAGGTTCAAAAAGTGTTATTCGTGTACAATTGAGAATTGACTAAGTTTTGTTCTAGCAAACCATGTGCTAATCTTGAGAGAAGAGCATTAATTTTGTCAATGATAACCGATGTAATTTAAATTATTTTCGTCATAATTTTTTTACTTTTAAATTTCTTTATTTAAGACAGGATACAACATTAAAGATTACGGTAAAAGATGTATAACATATGAGGGAGCACAATTATATAATAACTTGCCAAACAATACTAAAGAGTGTCAGTCGATTGCCATCTTTTAGAGTAAGTTGAGAAAATATGTACCTATAAGAAAATATTTTTTTAACACTGGTTGGTCAAAAAAAGGTTTTAATTAGTCATTTAAACTGTCAAACACCAAGCGGTCACCGGTGACCGCAACCTATTGTTCTATAATTGTGTCTATAATGACGGTGCTCGACGAGTTAAGCTTAATAATCGTTAAACGAAGATTATTTTTATTCATTCGTCGTGTATCTTTACATTGTTCATTCATTTATAAATTTCTTAAACAAATTATTATGTTTTCGGCTTACTTACGTAGTAATTTGACGAGAAAACTCGACTAGTTTCTATTATGCAAGCTCTAGCATGGCTTAAAACTAGTCAAGTTCCTCGTCAAATTATTACGTGAGTAAGCCGAAAACATAATAATTTATTTAGTATGTCTCACGAAAGTTACAATACAACTTGTTAAACGTTGATAATAAGTTGAGCTGCTCAATGATAAGTTTTTATTACATAACTTTAGTTAGGTTATTAGATCCTATCTGTATAAATATACATACTTACAAGGTACATACTCTAAAGTCTTATCTATGAAGCACTTGATTAAGTTCAGAATTGAAACTTCCTTGTTTATCCTGCTACTAATGTTTATCGGACTGCCTCATGTCGTCATCAAATGGTCATAAATGGTCGAGCAAGGGGTCCCATGTATCGAACATTAAATCAATATCACGGTCAGGTTAAAGGATTTCTGTACAAAAATTTCAGAAAAAGTAATGGTGAAAAGTAGTAATGGCAATAATGACTTGTAAAAGTAAATATATGTATTAGTTCATGCAGTGACACGTAGGTAATCCAAAAACATAATTACCTAAGTACTTACCTAATTATTTTAATAATTACAAAGTAAATAATATAGATTTGGCACTAAGTAATCTGTCCTATAAATAAGACGACTAATTTATTGTAGTATTCATTAATAACTTATTTGTTGATATTGATTTACGTTTAATGGTCGAAATTAGGTCTTAACCGACCTCAACCTCCTCAAACCGAAATCCCTGGATAATGTAGAATTTTGAATGTTGGATAGAGATTTTGGATTGTAATTAGTTCTTAATATTGGTCGTAAAATTTTATTTATAAGCAACTAGCTTTTCCCCGTGACTTCGTACGCGCAATCCCGTTTTCTCCCGTTCCCGTAGGATTTTCAGGATTTTTTTCTGTCATAAGAACCTTTTCCTGACAATAACAAACACAACAAAAAAAAATCAGCCAAATCAGTCTAGCCGTTCTCAAGTTATGGCGTGACAACGGGAACCGGGTTTCGTTTTTATATATATATTTTAGATATAGCTCACCCGGCAAACTTCATACCACGTAAAAAAAAAATCGCCTTTTAAACCGGACTTCCGCGAACATTTCAAGACCAAAATTAACCAAATCGGTTCTCGAGTTTTAGCGAGACTAATGAACAAAAATTCATTTTTATTTATATAGATCTGCTTCTTCGCAATGAATTAGTTAACTGTCACTATATTAGCTGATAAATACTACTCCTTATCTTCTAAAACAGTCTACGAATGTATCATTAATTAGTTAAAAGCCTAACTGCCAAGAATGTAAATAATAAAGAGTATAACGAGTGTAAAGTTAGCTCAAATCTTGTCTAAATCAAGGCTAAGGTGCCTCATTTTTGATTCAAACACTACCAATTTTTTTATGGCTTAAGCCGGAAAGCGAGCAGACGGATCACCTGATGGTAAGCAATCGACGTTGCCCATGGACACTTAGAACACCAGAGGCGTTACAAGTGCGTTACCGGCCTTTTGGGGATTAGGAGTTTGAGGATCGGTGGGGATTCAGGAATTGAGAAGGCGGAGGATAATTTGGCCTCCGGTAACCTCACTCACACGACGAAACATAACGCAAGCATTGCTTCACGTCGATTTTCTGTGAGGCCGTGGTATCACTCCGGTCGAGCCGGCCCATTCGTGCCGAAGCATGGCTCTCCCACACTTAAAATTACTCCATTCTCATACGAAATGTATAAAGCAATGGAATCTTAATGTTTAATACTAGCCTCAAAGTGACAGTCTAAGCAAGGACGCCTATGTACTCAGCCTTAGCGGTTGTGGTTGAAATCTAAGTAGATATGCCTACATAAATACATAGCAAACACTACGACCACATCGCTAAATTAGAGCTGAAGGGGTATGAATTAAGATATTAATTAAGGGTCAAATTTGAATGAGAAATGAGTTGTTACAGGTTCACCATAGGTCTCACTTTTTGAACAATGTTTATACTTTGACTTCATAAGAACATAACATCACGCCGTTTATCCCCGAAGGGATAGACCGACGTGCACATTATGCCACTGTACAATGTAACACCCACTTTTCACTATTTATGTTATAAGTTCCATGTAATAAGGGGTGAGCCTATTGCTTTAACCGGGCACAATTCCAGACTCCGTGCTACTACTGAGATTTATTTTAAAATCCAGTAATACTTTGCCCGACCCGGGCATCGAACCTTCCTAATATATTGTGGAATGACTTCATAATATATTTTAAAATACAATAAGTATTTTGCCATTCCATGCAAATTCCTAGGACACAGTCCATTATTGATTCCCAAAGATATCCACTTTTATTGGTTTGTATATTATATCTCTATTATTAGGTATAGTTCAACCAGAAAAGAAAAGATCAGGGTCATGATTGTATGAACAAACTGTATCTATATCGGTGTACTAAAATTGTTATCCGGCTTTTCGATAACGTAATTCTCAGATAATAAAGCAAGAAATTTGTCATCGCACACATGGCCGCCCTCTATGCAAATAATAAATTACATGGAACTAATAAACTAACCTAAAAGTAACTTGTGTATTAATATTGTGGTAATTGCTTTTTTTGAGGGGGGTCTCTCTCGCCCGGGTGAGGCGAGGGGGAGTGTCAGTGACTAAAAACCACGCTGTTCCTACTCCTGCACTTCGAGCCGGAGCCCCGATAATCCGTTAAGTCCTCGGCGGCTCCGTATCGGCATTAGCCCTACTAGGCCCCATCTATGGTGGTCTGATGGCTCTTTGAGGCGCGCGCGGAACGGTGTGCTAACTACTAGTGTCCTTTGGAGAATCGTTACCTTATTTATAAAATAATTATAGATGCGAAAGTTTGTTTATTTGTTCTTTTACGTACAGAGCAATTTTCTGGTATGAACTCTGTGTCGAGATATGCGAGGCTGGAGTACCTAATTATGCACTTACTTTTATTATCATTATGCGAGTGAAGCCGCGGTTAGCAGTGAGTATGTTTGACAATAGATAACCCCTGTCTATTATTACACCATAACCTCAAATATTTGTCTTATCCCAAAACTCATTTGTAAACTTTAAAATGAATTCGTAACGAAACCACAGATTCGCAAATAAATGGAATCTATTCTAAAATGTTATTTAATTAAATAACTATTATTTAGATATCTCTGAGATTTATTTAATGAAAAAAACTTTTAGTTTAATTTCAACGTAAGTCAATATTGAGAATAGAAAAATAATTGCTTAAGTGATCCAAGTTTTTTAATGATTCTTTTCTCTTTTCAATTTATTCTTTTAATTTCATAAAACTTAAAAAAATATTCAAATTGATTCGACTAGCTGCTACATAAATATTATTATATGTAAGTAGACGAGTACCTACCTGGGTAAGTTACCGTAGGGTGAGTATAACCACGTCTACCTATGTAGATAAAAACTGTCATACACCGCGCGGACACAGGTGACCGCAACCTATTGTTCTTTAATTGTGTCTATAATGACGGTACTAAAAATTCAAAGTTCCTCCTAAACCCATAATTATTTAAGCGATATCTTCCAAATCATACTATCTTCCTATAATACGATTGTATAGTGTATATTAAAGCATACATAAATAAAAATAAATCCACAAACCAATCAAGACAAACGAAACTTAGCCTATGTTAAAAATAATCCATCTATTCAGTTCTCTATATCAGAGCTGCAAATTATTTCGTTACTAAAACCAATACCTATATGAAACAATTTCGTGAACGTAAAATCCTTCGTTACGCCCACAGTACATTTACAAAACAATTCATTCATTGGAGATATTATTAAGTAACTATACCTAGCTCGCCACCAGCGGTTTTGAGTGGTATTCAGAAAGTCTCCCTCGAGTAGATCCTGATTTTGCTGGAATATTAGGACGAACAGTAGCGAAAGTCCCTCTTTAAAAATTTCTTGCTTCTTGCTTTCGCATTGTGAAAGAATTTTGCAAATCGATTTAGTGGTTTCGAAGACTTTATCACCTAGTACTCTTGGGAGGTTGTGGTGGTCCTGGGAAAGCCATGCCTCGGTGAGTAGGGGCTGGCACAATAGGAGTTATCATTCCAAAGTTATCATCACGTCGTGACCAGTTACCAATACGTTTTGTAAACCTGTCCCCAATCCTTTAAAAGAGCGCGACCGAAGCCGTGGGTAGAAACTATTCTATGAAAAAAATATTGGCGGTTCATAAATTCACTTTTTTTCTTTAAACTGTCAAACACCAAGCGGTCACCGGTGACCGCAACTTATTGTTCTATAATTGTGTCTACAAAACCGGTACTCGACGAGTTAAAATCCCTGACCCTGATGCACCTAAATACGAATACCTATTAATCGTGACAGCTAGTTTTCTGACAACCAGCATGATACCCTACAACCCTCTTGCAAATCCTTTGTCGTTGCAAGAATCCTTGGATTGAGTTGGTCAGCGCTGATAATTTATTATCTTGGTGATATCAGAGCCCCGGAGAACTTAACGGGTTACCGGGCCTCCGGAGTAGGAACAGGGTGGTTTTTAGTCAGTAAGAGTCTGACACTCCGCCTCACCCAGGCGGGAGAAGCCATACGATGATTCTCTCCCTTAAAAAAAATTCAAGGCAAATAAATCTTTCTTCTTTATAATGTCAATATAGTTTATAGTATATTTATTATGTAGGCGAGTAAAACGTTAGTGAATTGATTTAGCTTACTTAAGAGTTAAAACTCAATGCCAGTCTGAACGTGGTCGGCGCTCATTAGGCACTGTATTGTTTACGAGCTCACAAAGAAGACTTGTTTAATTAGACGGTCTTAGGTCTTAGTTAGTGCTAACGTCTTTATTGCCTAATACCTCTAGATGCCTATTGGTCGAGTTTCGGTCGTAATTTGTTAATTACGTGAATTATATTTATTGTATAGTTATCGTAGTTTGTGTTGAAAACTGCAATAGTGTGTTTCTTACGTTATTAGGCCAATAAAAATTCCAGATACTAACTAAGGTCATTGCAAACTACAGGATTTCTTAGTTTTAGTAATCGATTCGAAGTGAAATCACTTCTGTTTATTTTAGACTGCAGTGGCTAGGGAACAACTTTTTATCTGATCCACAAACTGTTATCTCGGGTCAGAGTGTGATGAGGTTGTGAATGGGAACAGAGAACAAACTCCTAATGCTATCGCCCCTACCATAAATAATATCACCGCGTTTCAACCTCCAACACCAAAACTAAAAAGCTGCGACTAAAACTGATTTCAAAAATACACTATTTTACTTTCATCTCGTTTGGATGTCCGTGTGTCGATGCCTCGATGGGCATAGGGTTAATAACTAAATTGATCCGTCTGACTGTCCCGACGTAGCTTGTCACACATATCAATGTTTTAAATTGCACTCTGATTCATTGGCCCGAAATATTACCATTAGTTCCGTGTGGTGACGAACTGACGATAAAGTAGAACCGTAGAACTGATGTACCCACAGAACATAAAAAAGAAGAAAACCTATGCATAATTATTT